TGCCTCAGAAACCCAAGGAGGGGTCGCTATGAGTTGGGGCCAACTAGACAACATATAACAACAACAACAAATATTCCTCACAATTTAATCTCGAACATCAGCTTGAACCAGAAACTAATCCAAGGATGAGGAAGAATTCTGATTCTTATGTTCTGGTTTACATAACATACAGATGAATAAGAATTCTAATACCATCTGAATGGAGTGTACTGACTGGATTGGATTATAGGAGACTGACAATTCTGAATTCAGATTCCAAATGGACTCAAACAATGAGATGTCAATCACACAAAAAGAAATAAATAATCATGTGATTAGGTCTGATAGTGTAGTAAAACTCAAAGTCACTGCTGTTGAGTCAGATCTGACTCATAGCAATCTCTCCTTGGGTTTCTGAGGTGATATCACTACGGAAGTAGATTGCCCAACCTTCCTTCCAAGGAGTGGCTTATGGGTTTGAACCACCAGCCTTCTGGTAGCAGTCAAATGCCTGAGGCACTATGCCATATTTCCAAATTTCTCTATGTCAGGTGACATAACTAGACAAAACTGGAATCTCCATAAAACAGGGATTTCAGTCTGTTTTATTCATAGTTAAATCCCAGTGCATGAGAGAGTGGCTGACATAGAGAAGGTATTCAATAAATGTTTCTTGAGTGAATGGATAGACTGTACCCCCTTGGACTCAAAAATAGATCTTCTTTCCAAAACTGATAATAAATATGATGGACTATAGCTAAAAAATTCTAGCAGATTACTTCCTTTACTATAGCATTTCAAAACCTTCTTTGGTGTCAATTTCTACTGTCAATTCAATCTCTTATTGTCTCTTACCATAATTCAATGTTTTCTTCTTGTTCACTTCTAGGATATTTTAAATTGTTCATCCTTTTCTTCTAAATAAAAAGCCTTTCCAATGACTTCCAAACCCTGTTCTCTGTGACAAATGTCTTTATTTATTTATTTATTTATTTTTGTCCTATGGCTGAGGGTTTCTTATCCCCCTAAATAACTCATCTGTCTCTTCTCTGAAGCTTCTTCACATTCTCTCTACTACTTTCTAAAACAAGCATCTAAAGTACACATAAACGTGTAGAAAAAATAACAAGATTGCTCCTTAGAGAGTAGGTACATCTCTAATGCTCTACTATGCTCTACAGAGCTCTGGTGGCATAGTGGAAAAGGCACTTGACTGCTAACTAGAAGGTCAGTAGTTCAAATACACCAGCTTCTTTATGGAAGGAAGACTAGGTCATCTACTTCTATAAAGATTTACAGCCTTGGGAACCCAGTGGGGGTCATTGCAAGTTGGAAATGACCCAATAGCAGTGAGTTTGGTTTGTGTGTGTGTGTGTGTGTG